GTTGTCAGCTGTAAATTACTGTATATGAGTCAAGCTTTTATCTACTGCTTGGTTCCTAGTGTTTTATCTACATACTCTACTTCACATAATATTAAATCAAATTACTTGTCTGAATCTCTTTAGACTTAAATGAGTAACTGCCCCCCCCCCCCTCAGAAAAACACTAAATAATAAAACAGTTATTTCTCATATGCTTTGAACTTGCAGTGACTTGACATCAACTTCTCCTCAGCATCATCCATCTTGCAGTGTTTTCTCTCTCTCTTCCTACTCTTCTCTGTGATAAACTACCTTTTTTTTTACTCCTGCAGGCAGTAAGACGTCTCCAGCCACCACAGATGGAGGAGCAGGAGAGCCTGAGACGGGGACGGCAGCAGGGAGGAAAAGGCGCTGGGGCTCCAGCACAGCAGTCACTGCTAAGAAACCATCGATCAGCATCACCACAGAGTCACTGAAGGTACCGATAGAAGATCAACATCATGAAATCCTTATTATTCAGATTTGTATTGATGTCTTGAGACTCACCAGCAAACTATATTTTCTTTCCCTCCAACCTTCTCGTGTCTGTGTCTCTGTGCTTCAGTCTTTGATTCCAGACATTAAAGTAAACCAGGAGGCTGTCGTAGAGCTTCATCCAGAGGAGCTGCAACTGTCTGGGGACGAGGAAAACCTGGACAACAACCGCAGCGACCAGGACAAAGGACTGAAGATTCGACGCACCGTCACACAGGTCAGAAAGGTTTTATCATTGCTTTCAGCTGAAAACCTTTTGGATTGTTTTCAGGCAGGAAAAGAAAAGGTGCAGTTGAGAAATGTCTTATTTGAAGAACAAGTTTTTGTCAGTGTGTTTTGAACCTGTGTTTTTCTACCTGTAATTCCTCTCTAGGTCGTCCCAGGTGACAGTCAGGAAAATGGCCAGAAAAATGAAGAGGAAGAGGTGGAGAAACCAGAGAAAGAACAACAGCGCAGGACTTCCAGAGACAAAAGGAAGAACAGTCTTTCTGAGGAAGCATCAGAATCACAGGCATCTGTCAATCCTGACGTGGAGGCAAAGAAAGGTAAAGTGTCTTGCTGAGAAGTTGGTGGGCTTTAAATTGCTTTAAATTGTTGGGTATAAATCTCTTTGCTGCTTATGTCTTCCATCATCCCTCAGGCATCTTTCCCTCTGTTCTTGATTACACACATTCCTGTTTTTTTAAAGTCCCTCTCACTCTTCCATCCCTCAGTTACTCCCAGCGACAGTCTGGTGCGTCGCTCCATCAGTCAGCAGAAGTCCGGCGTGTCCATCACCATCGACGACCCCGTCCGCGCAGCTCGGCAGCCGTCGCCACCTCGAGGCAAAATCTCAAACATCATCCATGTGACCAACCTGGTGGGTTTTTTAACTCTACATCACAGTAGAAGGCACAAAGAAAACCCAGTGAACAGTGTCTCCAAGTCTGTGGAATTTGTTTGTGAGAATTATTCTGGCAAGTTAAAAATTCAATCACATAAAAAGATCCTGTTATATTTTTGTGTCTTAGCTGAACTGGAGCCTGGAACTTTCCCCTCAAACTCAAATTATGTGGTTGTTCGGAAAAAATCCTGCTTTTCCAAATCCACTGTACACATTTTTCGTGAATGAGGCATATTGTGTTGATGCCAGTGGAAACCATATCACCATCATACCCATAATTAGAGTCAGGAGCGCTTAACCAGGTATTATGGCTGTAGTCAAGCATCACTTTAAGTTGGGGGCACAGTGCGTGACTAAACAGATGATGGCAAGACAAGACATTACACATTTAATGACTAGTGTTTGCACGTTCTTTTTATTCCTGCCATAGAAGCAGGACTTTAAAGTTACACATGGATCAAAGAATTCAGTATTTCTTCCTAAACTGATCGGCAGATTGGACGGATGTAAAATGTAGAAACAACTTTGATAAGCGTGTGAATTTCGGCCTCAGGGTGGCACCAGAGGAAAGACCAAGAAGTACTGAGTTAAAAAGACTTATCCTCTGAACTATGATCAGTTTAGAACCTGTTGGATTTACTCTGGCATTAAAGTTTAGAAGCCAAGTGAAAATTAGGACCCGAGATGAAGAAGGGCTCATTTACAGGATAACGTCACTTTTAATGTACCAGATTTCAAACCAATAGTTTACTCTGGAGCCGTTCTAATCCGGAGAGTCTCATCTGTAAATTCAAAATATCTGTCTGCAGGTCATCAACTTGACTTTGGGACGTCTCAACACATTTGAAATATCTGCCTGTCGCTGACTTTGATAACTGACTGTTTATCTTTTCTCATCCTGAAGGTGCGACCCTTCACCCTGGGTCAGCTGAAAGAGCTGCTGAACCAGACCGGCACCGTGGTGGAAGAGGGCTTCTGGATCGACAAGATCAAGTCTCACTGCTTTGTCACTGTGAGTACAAACATTTTCTCTTCTGTACTTCATCCACCTGTGTTCCACTGTATTTAACTTTCAGAAGGATTTTTCAGCGTTGTAACCTTTTCATCTCCTCGTGTGTCCGCAGTACGCCACGGCAGAGGAGGCGGTCGCCACCAGAACTGCCATCCACGGGGTCAAATGGCCTTCGAGCAATCCCAAGGTCCTCAGCGTCGACTTCTGTGAGCAGGCTGAGGTAATGAACACCTTAAATCTGGAAATACACTAAATATGCAGCTGACAACCTTACAAAAGATGTTGGGAAGCATATTCCAGCTAATTTGATCTGGTTAATTTGAACCACACAAATACGATTTTAGATTTTTTTAAAATTGACCCAGACAGTGTCTGAAATTATGGATGCGTCTTCTTTTGCTCTATAAAAGTTTGGGAAACATCCACTTTTATGGAGGTTTTCACCTTAAAGTCTGTCAAAGTGCTCCTGTATGTCCCCGGGTGATTCAGCATTTCTGTGCACCTAACTCTGTAATGTGTCAAGTGGAAGACAAGACTATTGCTTTACCAAAAGTAAAAGGTACAAGGAATAAAATATTAACAGGTTTTCTTTTAAGATGTACGAAGTGTTGAGTCGTCCAAACTGGCTGAAGTTGCCCTTTTGTACTTGAGTCCATAACAGCTGCATCGTACACAGCAAATCTTCAAATCCGCTGCCGGATTAAGCATCAGTTTAATCCAGGAGTGAATTTCTGATGACGCAGAATAATAGTGTGTGGCATCACATTTTTAATACATCGGTTTCTAAAATTGTCCATCTCCATACAATCTGACATTTGTCTCTGTGTCTCTATCCGCAGCTGGACTTTCACAAAGGCATCCTGAAACCAGACAAAGAGGAGGAACACGTTCCCCAACCGAGCGCCCCTCAGAACCGGCTGCCCCCACTGATGCCCGAGCGAGACAGAGACCGCGACAGGGAGCGTGAACGGGACCGGGGAGCCGCTGGAGTGCGCGACCTATGGGCCGAACGGCAAAGAGAGATGGAGCGCCGGGAGCGGGCCCGCGGGGAACGGGAATGGGACCGCGACAAGGTCCGGGAATTCGCAAGACCGGGGGAGGACGGACGTCGATCCCGATCCAGAGAGAGAGAGCAGAGGAGGAAGGAGAGGGCAAAGAGCAAGGAGCGGAAGTCAGATAAGAAGGGTAAGAGAACAAGTAGAAACATGGAAAAATAAAGATGTGAGTGGGATTGTCCTTTTATACAAAAACATTTTATACATGTACCATTTCATCTCATCGATACTGTTCAGCATCAACCAAAGTTAGAGATTCCCCACGACACAATACTGCACACTGTGTATTATGATACAACTGTTTTACACCGGTTCAACTCTTCATCGGTGGTTATTATTCTACGTTGCTTTGTTTTCTACAACAGAAGAATTTATCCATTTGTTTCCTCACTAACAGAAAAGGGAGACGAGCCTCCGGCCAAACTTCTAGACGACTTGTTCCTCAAGACCAAAGCGGCTCCTTGTATATACTGGCTTCCCCTCACAGAGGAGCAGGTGGGTCCGACGCACACAAACGTGTTTTCAGTCGTACAAAGATTTATGAGTCTTGAGATTTCACTTGTACCCAGAAACGTAATCATCGTTTTTGTGTCCGCCAGGCGACACAGAGGATTTTGGACCGCACGGAGCGGCAAAAGGAGCGCGAGCGGCGGTGCAAGCAGCAGCAAGAGGAGGAGGACAAGAAGCGTGAAGAGGAGAGGAAGGAGAGGCTGAAGGCTCGCGAGAAGGACGGCGGCGTAACGGTTAGCGGCGGAGTAGCCTCGCGAGCAGCCGACGGAGACCGAGAGAGGGAACGCGGCCGAGACAGAGAGGTGGACAAGAGGAGGGACAGCGGTCACCGGCCCAGTCGACCTACAGCCGGCACTGGCAGTGGTAGACGGTCTCGTAGCCGTAGCAACCCTAGGGATAGACGCCGCTGATTGGTGGGATAGCTGAAGACTGAGAGAGAGAGAGAGAGGGGGAAGCAGTGTGGCGGAGGACACAGCAGACAGGAAGTCTTAGGAAGGAAGTGAATCATTTCTCTCGCCTCAAATTCCGGACTCGTGTCTGCTCCTCGCCACCTGCACCTGCCGTGCTTTAATTCATCCACTTCGACGCCAGCGTTGTCTTCCAAACACTTCTGCCATGTCCCCACCTCCTCAGTGTCAGTTCTCACAAAATGTTGATCACATGCTCGGTTTGTAGGGAAGTAACGGTCCGTCTCGCTCCTTTCTCCCTCAGTCTTTTTCTCCGTCTGTCTCTTAGGAGCGAAGATTCGGTCTCTTCCTCCCGTAGAGAGCAGCAGCGTTCCTCCTCGCCTCCATGTTGTGCTGTTCATTTTCCTCGGCCAAAGAAAAGAAGCCGGGAAGGGCGGCGGTTTCTTTGGCTCGCCTCAGCATTTTGTTCCGCTGAGGTTTGGGAGCCCGCCTCTTTATTTTAGTTCTGTGGGTGAACAGTTCCTTCCTCCTCGGAGCCCTGTAATAAAACCAGTCCAAAATAGATCCCTGACCTTCAAATGTGTTCGAGGATCAGTTTTAGCGTTACTCCTTTTTTTTTTATACATATACGACTAGAGTCACAGGCTGTCGTCACCGTCAGGAAAGTTGATTTGTTTTATGCATCTTGTTAATTTTGTCTGCCTTTGGAAGTTTGTGTGTTAAAGCAGGTGACCTTTGAACCTTCATCTCCCACTGATTCCTGAAGTCTCTTCATACTGTAACGTAGAAAAAAGCGATAGAAAGAGATGTGGTAGTAAATGTTGTGATGGTGCAGGAGACGATGCAAACGCCCAAGTTGATCTTAAGTGGTTGATTAACAAGGATGGGATGGAATTCAAGAGGAGGGTTATTCTGTAAATATTACAGGAAGCTGACCTTCCCTGCACTGAAGTCTCCAATTATGAATCCCTCCCACCACCTTTCAATCATATATATATTTAAGAGGAAAAAAAAACAAAAAATAAAAGGTTTATCTTCTAATAGAGTAGTAGTTACAATTTTAATATTTTTAATTTAGTTTTTTGGTTTGAAACACTTTGATTTTGTTGCTTCTTCTCCTCCTGCAAGTGCTGAATGTACTGAGAACTTAAAAATGAATAAAATTTAAATTGGTTATCAGCTTCTCTGCCGGATGTCTTTTTTTTTCTTATCGTGTTTTGATCGTCTCTTTATTTTTAAATTGTCAGACAATAGTGAAAATACTTGAAGATTTATTCCAATTGCTTATTTTAATGATGTCATGTCAGCAGCACATTTTTCTCCTTGAGAAGCTGTGAATGTTTCAAAAGTTCCACTCGGCAATTACTTAAACAATTATCTATCCTCTGCCAGAGAGGTTGTGTTTTCACTCGTCAGTTTGTTTGAGCAAGATTACTCAAAAACTGCCAGGTGGATTTTCAAGAAACTTGGCGCAGAACCCATTCAATTCCTCCTTTTATCACTTAGAGGGAAAAGCTTTGAACGAGGCTTTTAATTTTGCAATTCTGAACATTGCAGGGTTTCCACGGGGTCGTTCAATTCAATGATCTTGAATTTTATGCCTTAAAAAGTTAAATCTGTCGAGACACTATGAGCTACGTCATTATACATTTAGGTGAGTGCTCATTTCACGCTGCTGCTGTTGTGCTTTAGAATCTTAAAGAGTGATTTTGGCAGCATGCAATAAAAACCAATATGGAACATCCGCCTTTCCTTCGTTTTACATTTCTTTCATTATGGTCTTAAATTGTACTTGTTGAAAACCCTCTGCTACAAATTCTTCATCTGTTGTCGGAACACAAAAAATGAAATATTTATTACAACATACAGAAATTAAGTAAATGTTTTTTCCCCAAATTGTACAGATTCACGTAACAAATCTCTTACAGTTAAGTCAAATTTAAGTGCAAAATGTTTTAGCAAAAAAACAGTTTAGCAAAATCCCTTGTTCTTCTACAGCAAACAGTAGCCACATTGGGGTAAAAAAAAAAAAAAAGCAGGAGTTTCGTTCCCTTATAACTATGATACAGTAATAGTACAAGAAGTACAGCAGGCAGTACATGTGACACAAGGGGACTGATCCGAGGGAATCAGTGGAAATGTCTCAATATCAGCAGTTTCATCTCCGGGAAGGAAACAAAAAAACGACGTATGACTGAGTGGAACTGACGACACGTCACCACCAGCTTTTTCAAAACACCCGTTAGCTGCATAGACGCTGATCAGTGTGTGTTGTGAGGGGGAATGTTGTGTGTGGTGTTGGTGCACACTCTGCTCATGTGACAGGAGTGGCAGAGGAGATGAGAGTCCAGGGGGAAGCACTGCGAGCCGGGCTTATCGGAGAGCTGCTTGCAACACTCCTGCGGAAAAGGGACGCAGAGGAGGACAGGAATTTAAACACAGGAAGTGAGGTCAGGAATCGAGGTTACTTCACATTAAAAGTCAGAGTCGAGCAGGTGGTGGAATTTTTTTGTGGAGCAGGAGAATAAATTTGGGGTTCGTCACTCACCTCGCAGTGATAACACTCAAAGTGATAGTCCTTGTTCATAGACACGACCCTGAGGATCTCTTCACTGCCCTGAGACACAACGGCAGGAAAATGCAAACGTCAGCACAAGAGTTACAGGAAAAGAAACATGAGAAACTCTTCTGTGATTGGTTGACACATTTAAACAAGGAAACTGCACAATGCTCAAAGTGCTCTGTAAACCTGGGCATGAACTTTATATTGAGATTATATGAAGGCAACAACAATTCTCCAGTTATGTGGTTTATAAGACGGTTTTTAATTGGAATTTAAAATGTGGAATTAAAAGAAATCTTACTCGTGATTTTACGACTAAGTACTATGGGGAATATTGACTGAAGACAATATATTACAAATTTATTCTAGTCTTGCACTGTGTGTGTGCATGGAGAATTCCCACTCACCTCAGTGGGGAGGATGGGTTGTAAACAGGCAGCACACTTGGGGGCAAAAGTCCTGCAGAACAACAGGAGGAGGTTAGACGAGTGAAGAAAACAGGAGCACCCACACTGTGGAGTCACATTTCCTCACATCTCCAGGAAGTAAAAGACTCTGATAAAGTGGTTTCCTCTGGATTTGAAAACCTCTCGGATGTGAGTCACAGAATTAAGAATCAGATCCTCTGTCGTCACATTTTGGAATTCATGCTGTGGACAAGCCGAGTTGCCAAAATAGTAGCATGACAACACAAAGCATGACTCACTTGTTGTAGTCTGCGACGCAGTAGATGTTGCTGTGCTGGTCCACGGTGAAAGGCACGCCGTCCAGAGCCTTGGAGCAAACCACGCAGCGGAAACAGCCGGGATGGTACGAGTTCCCGAGAGCCTGAAGGATCTGAGGAGGAAGACCGGGGAGAAAATGAAGAAAGGAAAGTACAGAGGAGATTTATACGCACAGTGCATCCACAAATCTCCATCTTGCTGTGAGGAAACTGATCCATCTGTAATAATTATTAATTACTTTCCTTTTTTTGGTGTGTATAAACAATATTTCCAACTCTCTCATCAACGTGCTATTGTCCGTCTATGTTGTGCAGAGACTAGAGCCTGTGGTTCTCAGACACACTGGTAGCTGTGTTGATATTATGGGTATTACGTGGTTCAAATATGGTAAAAACATTTAAAGATCATCAGTGCGGTCTTATTTCTCCATTTATCACAAACCCAAGGCAAACATTCCACTGAAATCTGTCGTGGGAACACGAAGAGACGCCAACAAACAAGACGTCACAGAAAATTCTCTGTCCAGTGGGAAAGGGGGGGGGGGGGGCTCTTGAAAGGAATTCTGGGAAACAGGATGCAAGTTTAACTAAAAATTACCCAAGGCAGGTTAAAGGTTAGAGAAGAGTCGTTTAATTCTCAAACAAGTCCTGGTGGTTAGACGCATCTGGCCTCCTCATGAGGAACGCTCTCTCTCTCTTGCTAACACGCACACACACACACACACAC